CTACGTTCTAGACCATGAAGCTAGCTTGAACAAACTTTAAATGATCAGCATTATGTAGACCACACTGACCACAATGCAGTTAAGTTGGAACTCAATAACAAAAGATATGTAGAAAAAAATCTCATACAATCGGGAATTAAAAAATACTCTTATAAATAATTAATGATTCAAACAACAACCACAAAAAGCATAGTGGAAAACAGAAACATATTTAGAATTAAGGATAATAAATAATAATAAAACTACACATAAAAACTTGTAGACTTCAGTGAAAATCAAATGTAGAAGGAAGTTTTCGGCTTATATGCTTACTCTAAAAGAGAAAAAAAGAAAAGGCTCAAAATCAGTGAGATAGGATTCGTGTCAGAGACAATTTATCCAGCCTCCTGTGGTTGATATGATCATGACACTGAGTTCTGGCCTATGGCGTATGGGCAGATGTAATGTGAATAGCTTCTGGGTCTAACCCTTAAATTTCCTTTGCAAACATCCACTTTCTAGATGCAAGGAATCCTTTGTAGGATGAAAGGAACTCAAGCTCCTGAATGACTTCAGGTAGAGCAAGGTCATGCCTGCCAGTCCACTGAACTGTATCTTATCAGGCTACTGAGGTTTGGAGGTTGTTATGGCAGTTAGCCCATCCTGACTAATACAGCAAATAACCTTTTAAAAATGAAAACAAGGGCGCCTGGGTGGCTCAGTTGGTTAAGCGTCTGCCTTCGGCTCAGGTCATGATCCTGGAGTCCCGGGATCGAGTCCCACATCAGGCTCCCTGCTCAGCGGGGAGTCTGCTTCTCCCTCTGACCCTCTTCCCTCTCATGCTCTCTATCTCTCATTCTCTCTCTCTCAAATAAATAAATAAAATCTTTAAAAAAAAATGAAAACAAAAACAGAATAACGTTTAAAAACTCAGAAGAAAACAAAGGGTAAAAATTAATGAAATAAAACACATCATAGAGAGGGTAATCATATTCAAAGATTATCTTTTTGCAATGGTTAATCGTATTGACAAACCTTTGTCATGATTAATCGCAGGGAAAAAGAAATGGCAAAAATAAACACTAAGAATGAAAAAGGATGCATTATGGACTGAGCAGAAACAAAGGATACTATTTAAAACTATATGTTAATACATTTGAAAATTGTAATGGAATGTGTGAATTCGTAGAAAAAGATCATTTACCAAAACAGACCCAAGAAGGGATAGAAAACTTGAATAGTCCTATATCACTGAAGAAATTCAGTCGGTAGCTAAACATTTTTCTCACAGAGAAAACAGCCCAGCAATCCGATTGGTGAAAAATTCTTCCAAATGTTTGAAGAACATTTACAATCTTTGAAAACTTCTCCAGAGAATAGGAAAAGGAGTCCTACTTGGTAAGTGAGATTAGCCTAATCCTGATGCCAGAACCAAAAGGACAGCAAAAAAGAGAAAAACTATAGGCCAATCTAACTCATTAGCATCGATGCAAAATCCTTAACAAATATTAGCAAACTGAGTCCAGCAGGGAGGAAAAATGTTTATAGATGATGACCGAGATAGGTTTATATCAGACTTGCAATACTGGCTTCATATTAAAAAACCATTCATGTAATTCATCACATTGATAAAATAAAAGAAAAGCCATACAATCATTTCAACAGATGTATAAGAATACAATATAGCGTCGATACAAGGCAACATCTAATGACAGCTGAGAGTGTTACAAACTCGGACTCTGGAGCCAGGCTGCCTGGTTTTGAATACTGACTGTACCATTAGGAGCTTTGTAACCTCCAGCAAGTAATTTCATCTCTCCAAGCTTCCGTTTCCTTCTTATCTATAAAGATGAAAATAATAATAGTACTTTCCTCTGGGTTTGCTGTGAGGATTAAAATAATTTATATATGTGAAGCACTTAGAACAATCCTTGCATGTGGTAATACATGTTCGCTCTTATTATATGGGTGATTTTTAAAAAACCCTTAGCAAACTAGCAAAAGAAGTAAACATCCATAATATCCATAAAGGGCACCCACAAAACCCTGCAGCAAATATCATAATTACTGTTGAAATGTTGAAAGGGTTCTCTTTAAAATCTGAAGAAAGATATAATGCGTACTATTATCGTTTATGGTTAACATTGTACTGGGGCTCCTAGCCAGTGCTAGAAAAACAAATAAATCAGAATTGGAAAGAAAGAAACAAAGCTAGCATTACTTATAGACAATAGGATTGCCTATACACAAAATGCAAAATAATCTACAAATTATACAAATCAAGAAGAGAATTTAACAAAAGTTCTGGATAAAATAAATAATGCACAAAATAATTTGTATTTTCATAAACAGCTACACACAATTAGAAGTGTAACTTTCAAAATACATCATTTAGAATAGCAACAGATCATTTAGGTCTATTCCTAGGTATTTCATAAAAGTACCTAGGAATATGGGCACCTGGGTGGCTCAGTTGGTTAAGCAACTGCATTCGGCTCAGGTCATGGTCCCGGAGTCCCGCATTGGGATCAAGCCCACATTGGGATCAAGTCCCTCATCGGGCTCCCTGCTCAGCAGGGAGTCTGCTTCTCCCTCTGACCCTCCCCGCTCTCGCACTCTCTCTCTTACTCTCTCTCTCAAATAAATAAATAAAAGCTTTTTAAAAATACCTAGGAATAGGTCTAATAGAAGTACAAAACATAGATGGATAAACTATAAAACTTTATTGAAAAATTTTAAAAGGCATAGCTAGATGGACGTTCTATGTTCCTGGATAGGAAGATAATATTGCCAAGATGTCAGTTCTCCCCAGAGTCATCTATAGATTCAAAGCATTTTCAAGAAAAAAATCCCAACAGTGTTTTTCATGCAAATTAATAAAGCAATTCTAAAATTTATGTGGATGAACAGAGTCCAAAAAAAAGTCAAAACATTCCTGAAGAAGAATAAAAAAGAAAGGAGGAAACTTGCCCTATCAGTTATCAAGATTTATTATCCCTAGAGATATTAAAACAGTGAGATTTGGGTGTATCAATAGACATACAGAAATAGTAGAACAAGTAGACACATGCCTATTTGGAAACTTGATTTATGACACAGTGGGCATTATAAATCAATAGGAAAGAGTCAACTCTTTACTATGTTATTCTAGGACAATTGGTTATTCAAGTGAAGTCCAATTGCTACCTTCTACTGCACATTAAAATGAATTCCAGGTGTATTAAAATTTTATATGTAAGTGGTGAATCTATAAATCTTAGAGGATACTGTAGGAAAATGTCTATTTCACTTTGAGGTAGGAAAGGATTTCTTAAACAGGATGCCAAAGGCAAAGCCATAAAGGAAAAGAATATAAATTTGACTATATTAAAATTAGGCCTGTGTTTTCATCCAAAGACATCAAAGTGTATGAAAGAATGATCCAGAGAGTGGGAGAAATATTTGCTGCACATATATCTGTCAGAGAATTATTGTTCATAATTAGTGTCTATAAAGACCCCTTGAAATCAATGAGAAAAAGATAAGCATTTCAAGAGAAAAATGAGCAAAAGACACAACCAGACCTTTCATAAAAGAGGTAGTATGAATATTGGTTCATAAATATATGGGAAAATGTTCAACTTCATTTGTAACCCTAAACTCTAAGCCCTAATTTGTAACATTTAAGCACACAATTAAACACACAATTAACATTAAACACACAATTGTGTAACACTTCAGCTCTATCGAACTGGCAAAAATCAGCTCTGTTCGGGCGCCTGGGTGGCTCAGTCGTTGAGCGTCTGCCTTCGGCTCAGGTCATGATCCCAGGGTCCTGGGATCGAGTCCCGCATCGGGCTCCCTGCTCTGCGGGAGGCCTGCTTCTCCCTCTCCCACTCCCTCTGCTTGTGTTCCTGCTCTTGCTATCTCTCTCTCTGTCAAATAAACAAAAAAATCTTTAAAAAAAAAAAATTTAAAAAAAAAATCAGCTCTGTTCAAGTGCGGGCAAGACCTTGAGGCATGAAAATTCTCAACTACTGCTGGTAGGGGTGTAAAGTCAAGAAGGTCCGCCGTTACCTCATCAAGTTGACCATGACAATTGTATTGGTGAGGGCTCTCCAGAGAAACAGAACTAATAGGATACATAGAGGTACGTAGAGATTTATCATGAGGGATTGTGGAGGCTGATACCTCCCACAGTCTGCTGTCTGCAAGCCGGAGGCCTGGGAAGGTGTTACTGTAGCTTCAGTCCAAACCTGAGCACCCAAGAACCGACAACTGGGGGAGCCAATGCTGTAAGCCCCGGCCTGAGTCTCAGAAGCATCATCCACGAGCAGAAGACGGATGCCAAGTTTTAAGCAGAGTGCAAATTTGCCCTTCCTCTGCCTTTCCGTCTTTATTCAGGCCCTCAACGGATTAGGTGGTGCCCACCTGCACTGGTGAGGCCCACCTTCTTTCCTCAGCGTACAGAGTCAGATGCTCATCTCTTCTGGAAACACCCTCACAGACACACCCAGAAACCATGTTTTACCAGATATCTGAGCATCCCTTATCCCAGCCGAGTTGACATATAGAATTCACCATTATAGGAATTCTACCTTTTGACCCAGCAAACCCACCCCTAGGTATATAGTCTAGACACATTTTCCCATATATTTGTGTATGTGCCCCATGGAAAAGAACATTCACAGCAGCATCGTAGCTGGACAATCCAATGTCCATCAACAGTAGACTAAATGGAAAAAGAAAAGGAAATGTAGTAAAAGCTTAGAAAAGGAATGAATATATGCTATGCTGGGTTCTAGAGCCATGGCCTGAGGCTTCTGCAGCGAAGAGCTTACCGAGGTTCAGATGGCCCAGGTCAAGCTGCAGCCGAAGTTCCCAGAAGCCTCAGGGGTGGCTCAGCAGCTACTGGCCGATGTCCCTCCAGAGAGACTGGCGCAGGCGCTCTGGGCTGGGGAAGAGCGGCAGGTCAGCTGGTTAGGCTACAGGAGAGGATGTCCCACTTGGAGCAGGGGCCCCTGCGAGGCTGCTCCGCCCAGGGCTGAGCTGGGTCCAGGCACCAGGCTCCTGCCTGGAGTGCCTTGCCCAGTCCCCGGCCACCAGCCTCTGCAAGACGCCGTGGATGCCCCAGTCTCTGCGGAAAGGAGTGCGGGAGGCCCAAGAGGCTGCCTGGAAGCTGGAGCAGAGGCTGGGGGCGGAACCCAGTGAAACTGAGAGGCCGAGAGGGCCGTGGCCCAGGGGGGCTGGCTCTCTCAGGCTCTGCAGCCGCAGCTAGACGGGAGCCGGTGGGGACTGGGGAAGGTGAAGGATGGGGTGATAGAGCCCAGGGGTGGCCCCAGGGTGCACTGGCTAGAGGGAGCAGGGTGGGTCAGACAAACTGCACTGAGTGTCGCAAGGCTACCACTGCCTCCTGAGGACCTGGGGCGCTCCCCTTAACCACCCTGGGTCTTGGGCTTTCCTCCAGTCGGCTGATCCTGCAGTCCTGCGTGTTTCACAAGGCCATGAGAAAGAACACACTTTGAGCAGTATTAACACCCAGTGGTGTTATAACTGGGCCCCCAGTGGGTAGCTTTCATCACCCGGCTGGTGGCAGGACTGTTGGGGCAGAGAAGACCTCATGGGCTGGCTCACCTCTTCCCTTGCATATTCTTTGCTAGCTCCGAAGCCCCAGGGTTTCCCAAGCATTATCCTCATTAATGTATCAGTTCCCTCAGCTGGTTGTTACCGAGGGCTTCTGATGTGCCAGGCCCCAGCTGGGTGCTGAGAGAACAAAACACAGTCTGTTCTCTACAGTAGAGGCCCGGCTCTAGGAGCACACTGGCCAGTGACTGGGCAGGTGCCTTCCCTCTGAGTCAGTGCGAGCTTACAGGTAGGCACAGGTACCACAGGAGGGTCCCTGACCCAGCTGAGGGGGGTCAAGACAGGCTTCCTGGAGACAGTGGTACCTGAACAGAATCCCAAAGACAAATCAGCAATTAGAGTCATAAGGAGGAGTTTCCAGAGAGAGGTGCCAGTGAACAGCGGGCACATTTGGGAGAAAAAGAAGTAAAGCTTGGGGTTCACAACTGAATCTTCAAGATTGGGGCTCAGCTGTCGGCTGAGAGGGGCAGTGGTGCCACTTCCTGAGAGGGGAGACCACACGTGAGTGTCTGGTACCTCCAGGTGGGGAGACTGGCAGGGAGTTGGGTAGGGGATCGGGGTGGGAGATGTCCCTTTGGGTAGGAGAATGTGGGAGGGGTGTGGTCACTTTGGGGTGGGCTGTCAGAGTGGACCCCAAGGTGGACCAAGGGCTCAGAAGTAGCCAAAAAGGTAGGAAGGAAACCAGTAGAATGTTAAAGAGGGAGAATCTGGGACACTGGATGCTCTGGAAGGTCAAGTAAGGTCAAGCCTGAGAAGGCTCTGTTGGGTGTGGGTGGAGTGGAGAGAACCAGCCCTGGGGGCAGGAGGGACAAAGGGGTCCGGCTGTGGATGGGCTGGGGGGGGCAGGGGGTTCTGGCCTTTACTCGTGGAGCCCCTGTGGGTGAGGGCCCAGCAGGCACTGTCTGGAGCAGCCCGGAGAGGGAGCAGGCCCGGGACCCCAGATGAGCCCAGCTGGGCTATGGGCCCAAAGCTTCTTGTGCTGCCAGCCCCGCAGGAGGTGAGCATGAAGGCATGAGGACAGCTGCCCCAGACCTACCGTGGGGTTTGGCCGAGAGGCTGCAAAGAGCTTGGGGGTCACAGCATTAAGGATGTTGGCAAGAATGGGCCACCATAGTAGGGGCATGGCCAGGAGAGCAACTTGTGCTGGGGGGCTTCGTGGAGGAGGTGACATTTCTGCTGGAGCTTGATGGATGGGACGTCAGCGGAGGAGGAACATGGACAAAGGCAGGGAAGAGAATGACTCAGCATCCTTGGGGCACTGGGGATGGATCTGTGGTGGCAGCAGGAGAGGAGGCCTTGAGCATATACCCTAAGGGATCGGGCATTCATCCTTTGGTCAATTTGTCTTTGCGTAGCCAGCTAAATGTTTTCACCAGGAAGCGACCGGGTTCCTGGTCCAGCTTGGCCACTTGCTCTATGCCCAGAGGACAGTCCTGCCCACACCACTGTCCTCAAGCCCCACCCTAAGGGTGAATGTCGGCCTCTTACAAGAGATACTTGGAGAGGGAGCAGAGAGAAGTCCTGAGAAGCTGCAGAGAAGCAAACACCAGCAGCCCGCGCCTGACTTCCCTCCACCGCTTCATCTCCGCAAACCTCCTTTCCCCAATAGTCAGATGAGGGTAATAATGCCTGCGTTTCGGGGTCATTAGAATTAAGTGAGGAAATGTGTGCGGGAGGGCTTAGCATGTAGCAGGTGCCCAACTGATGTTAGAATACATGACAATGAATATTCGTAAGGGCAATCATAAGAGGCTTCATTGCCAGGTTGCTTGGGATCTAAATGGCCCAGGGAGCAGGGGATTGGCCTGGGAGAAAGGAAAGCTGGGGAGGGGCTCTGCTCCTGTCTCCTCCGCCAGGAGCCCTCCCCACCCCAACCATGCTGGGAAGCGGGTCAGGGACTCTCTCACTGCCCTGGAGACCCCCCTCACGGCACCTGAGACCACAGAGAGTGGAGGAGCCCTGGGCCCGGACACCTGGCCTCTGACTGAGCTCTGAGAGACTTTGGGCAAGTCCCCTCCCCTATCTGTGCCCCCAAGGCTCCTGCCTGTTCAGTCTGTGTTCAGTCTGTGTTGCTGATACTCTCTGGCCACGGTGGGGCTGTGCCCCCCTCGCTCCCGCACTTCCGAGGACATCTCCCCAGGTGTGTGCTCTCCTGCCCAGGGGAGGAGAACGTGCCTTATATGGCAGTGGCTGTGACAGTGTCACAGGCGCCTTCCCCAGGGTACTTGGGACATGGAGTCCCGGGAGCCAGCACGTCGGGCTGGAGTCCGAGTTTGACCAGCCCCCACAGCAGCCTCTCCTCAACCCCTGTGTGAGTACAGGGTGCATAGCTGCTGTCCAGAGGTGGGTAGGAGGGGCTGGGGACAGGGAAATGGGCGGAAGCAAATAGGCGGCCAGGGGCTGTGTTACTGAGTAAACATGAGTAGGTGGCAATAGTCATGTCGGGCCATGCACAGACATTCTTAAGGTTTTCAAGTCCGCCGTGGGCCTGAGAATACAGTTACAATCAGGCTCCCGCTCTGTGAGGTTCCATATTCCATGTGAGGCGCTGGCCGCTGCGGGGCCACACGGCCCACGGACCCTTGCTGGTCTGGGTGAGCACTGAAGGGTGGAACGTTCTAGGCAATGAGGTGAGGGGGAGCATTCTGGGGGTAGAAGAGCCTGCACATTCTCAGAGGCCAGGAAAAGGGCCTTCCAGTCACCAGAGAAACGCCCACGGTGGCTGGACACCATGGTCTGAGGGACTGAGAGAGGAGCTCTGAGGGGCACATGATGAGGGGAAGCTGAGGGTTTTAAGAGACTTGCCAGAAGTGCTTCCCAGAGGGGGGAGAGTGGGGGCGAGGAAGAAGGTACCACTGAACACTCTACCTATGGCCTTTGAGGCCCGTTTCAAACACCACATGTCAGAACCCCAGGACCTCATGTGATGGCGTTTTGGGTACCCAGTGTCCTGGGAGAGCCAGGGTCTGCTGCAGCTGTCCCAGCCCAGCCCTGGGTGAGCAGCCTGGATCCCCCAGTCTAATGGGGGATGCTCTGATCTGACTCCCTCAGGGGATGCATAAGGCCCAGAGAGGGAAACTGCCTTGCCCAGAGTACCACAGCAACTTAGTGGCAGAGCTGGGATTAAAATCAGAACTCCTGGGTTAGTGTTCTTTGCACTCTCTCCTCCGAGGCTTGAGTTTGTCCCTGAGCCCAGTTCCTCATACGTACCATGGAGATCATCCTAGAACCTCCCCCAGTGTGCTGTTGTGAGGACCCACCGTTACTCCATATCCCGGGGCTGGTATTTCTAAATCTCCTCTCACACCCCAGCTGGAGGTCCCGGAGGCCCAGCTCTCCAGCCCCACCGAGCGGCTGGAGCGGGCAGAAGGCTGCCAGGGCAGTGGGGTCCAGCAGCGGAAGGACCTGGAGTTCCAGGAGGGCACAGGTCGCTCGGAGGGGACAACAGAGGTCTCAGCCCCTTTCCTCTGAGTCCTGGGTGTCACATTGCCTGCCATCCCAGGCTTAACCACCAGGTGGCACCGCAGGCTTTGCAGCAGGGCTGGAGAAGGTAGCTGCTGGGGCAAGGAGAAAGGGCCCTCGGAGAAATCTGGGGACAGCCTGGAGGCCGGGGAGCAGGGGAGGAGGATGGAAGAGAAGCTGGAGTCTGGAGCCGGGAAGAGGTAGTGGGCGCTAGCAGGTTCTCCCTCCCCCTCTGCTCTCTCCCAGGTCTCTCTTGGAGAACTTCATGCTGGACCCAGGACCCCCGTACTGAGCCTGGATGAGGAATGCCTCCTTCCCCAGCCCCCTCGCCTTGCCACCCTCCATGGTCCTCAGCCTAGCCAGACCCTCAGCTTGAGCAGACCCTCAGCCTGGGGTCTTCTGGGGGTCAGGGCTAGGGCCCTGGTGTCACTGAGAAGAGCTTCTGAGTGGAAGTCAGGAGGCAGGACCCTTGGAGGTCTGGGGGTCCTGCATGGCCTGTGGGTGGGGACAGTAGTCAGGACAAGTAGGACCCAGCCTGACACCACCCTCCCTCTCCTGCTGCTGCGTGGGCCTGCTTGGCCTTCTCACCTCTCCTCAGGTGTACTTCTCTTTAGCACCTTCCCTCCTGGATCCTCGGTAGGATTCCAGGCTGCTTCCCCCTCTCCCCCTGCTGGACCCTGGAGAGGACAGGGTTAGAGCAGGGGCCAGGCCCACAGAGCGGACCCTTCTCTCTTCTTCCCGAGTCCAAAGCTGGGGGTCTCTCTGAGGGTCAAAGTGTGGTGCCGGGGGGGGAAGGCCAGAGTGGAGTTCCCTCGGGGCCCAGGCTCAGATGGCCTGGACAGGACTGCAGGGTGTCCCGACAAGGACAGGGTATGGCCACGGCCAAGGAAGAGGAGATGAGGCTGGTAGCCTAGCAAACTGACACCAGGCCTAACTGGGGGCTCAGATCCAGAGCTGACACTTGGCTGCCTGCCGCAGGTCCTTCCCGGACGATGGAGTGAGACCGTTTCCCTCCACCCTTACCCACCTCAGCTGGGGAGCTGCCCACTGGCCCCGGAGGGAGGCACCTCCAGGGTGCAGCCTTGGCTGCTGACAGCGCTGTCGCACTCCTAGGACACGGTGTCCTGGGTGAGGTGCCTGCGATGTGGGACAGGGGCTGGGCACAGGCTCAGGGAGGGTGGGGTCCCCGAGGGTAAAGAGGCAGGTGCTCCTACTCAGCTCTTGGCTGCAGCTGATGCTGCAGGAGCAGCCTGGTGGGGTGCTGCCTGTGCAGAGCTATGGGGAAGGGCTCCTCCCAGAGCGGGGTGAGCGACCCATCGGCCTTGGGCGATGCTACCAGCTCCGACCTCCCCTTGGAAGGTAGCCTGTCCCTTCCCGGCAAAGCCCCAGACCCTATAGCCAGTTTGAAGCCCTTCCAGCCTGCACCCCACCCCTGACAGCTCTCTCTGGAGCTCTCCTCCCTGGGTGGACCCCAACCCCCAGGAAGCCCAGCCCTGTCCCTCTGTGCCCCTCACCTCCTCACCAACCCCATGAACAGTTCCCACCTCTGGGGGCCCGTTCTCCAGGCTCGGGGTCTCATGGGCACACTCTGGACTCCCGGCTGGACCATGGAGGAGATGCCTAAGTGCCTACTAAGGCAGGAGGCCACCGCGCCTCAAGCTGTGTCCCTGCTCAGAGGGCTGACTGGGATCCTGGGAGCTGTTCTCATATCCACGGGACAGTGGGCTTGGGGAACCTCCAGCTGGCCCTGCGTGCCCACCACCACTCTGCTGTCCTATCCCATCTCCATTGGCAACATCCGCCGGGACGGCCCACTCCTAGTCGAAAAGCTGGAATCTCCACGTGCACTTGACCTAGGAGCAGCGCGCCCTGGTCAGAGCAGGCCTCGGCAGGATTGGAGGAAGACAGGGCTACAGCAGGTGGGCAGTGGGGGGGGCCCACACTCACTTGGCCCCTGGAGGCCCTGGTGAGCCCCTCCCTCTGCCTCTTGGCTTCGCTGGGGAGAGGAAAGGCCCCCGGTTCTGCTGAGCTCACCGTTTTCGAACTCCTTCCTGAGAGGTGTTTGGTTTTTTAATGATTAGGGAGTTGGCCCACGTTGGCTCAGCCTGGTAGCATCACAGGCGCTACCAAGCTGTCTAAGGAGCCGCTGGAGCTGGGGGCTGCCTGGGACCGCTCTGTGCCTGCTCTGAGGGGACGCTGCTGGCCTCCCCTCCACCCCCTGAGCTGGGGCAGCAGAGCCTGCTGTGTTCCCAGATGGCAGGGGCTGGTCAGGGCCACCACAAGAAGTCAGGGGAGAGGGCAGGCGATGGGTCTGACCCAGGCAAGGGAGGTGGGTGAACTCGCACCTGTTTCAGGGGACAGCGCTGTGGCTATGTTGTTTCCTGGGGCCTGCAGTTAGTAGACCCACCCCTCTCCCCCCCCCCCCCCCCCGCCCCGGCCTTGCCCTGGGAGCTGTCAGGAGTCCGCCTACTCCCAGGCAAGGCTGCCCCTGCCCCACTAGAGGCCAGGCCCAGGTGTAGGCTCTGGCCCCCCTGGTAAAGGGTGCTGGGTGCATGGATCGCTCACTGGGGGACTTCCCCCACCCCCAGGTCTGGGGAGGCTGGCCAGGGTGGGGGCCCGCTGTTCCCCTGGCAGCAGCACCTGCCACCGCCCCCCCACCCACCGCCTGCGTCAGGGGAGCTGTCCACGCTTGCACCCGGCTTCCCAAGCGATGAGACATGGCTCCCAGCCTGCCTCCCCAAGCCGCTGACAGCTCACACCCTGTCATCTGGGGAGCCGCAGATCCTGGAGTGCTCCCAGAGCCCCTCTCCCTGGGCAGTAGGCCTGGGACCCTGGCCCTCTGGAGGAGGGAGACCAGCCATGGATTGGAGGGAAATGAAGCTGGCTCCCCCAATTCCCCCAACCAAGCCTTGAGGGTGGGGCTGAAGACAGGAAAGGGACCAGGAGGGAGTTAACGTGGACCGGGTCTCAGAACTGAGCAAGACCTGAGGAGAGCAGGTTCTGGGGGAAATGTGCACACGGAGATGGGTGTGTCCAGCCCTGCCTTCCAGCCAGAGACTCCGTCTCACCCCTCCCAGGGCCCCTGCTCCAACTGGGAGCCACACCCATCGCCCCATGCCATCCTGTCTCAGGCTACCTTTGTAAAGAGGGCATGTTCCTGTCTGCTGGCCCCCATTCATCGTTTCCCTCCCTCTGAGTCTGTCTCTCTCAATACCTTGGTTTTAGCTATCGAGGTGTGTTACATACAGTCAAATGCACAGACCTCCAGGGTACATTTTGATGAGTTTCAATAAATGTATACAAATCAGGATTAGCACATCCGCAGCCCCCCTGAGAGCTCCTTACAGTGAAGAGTCACCTGTGGGCATTGCCTGTGTCACGATCATCTTTGTGTCTCCCTTGCGCCTGGCACCAGGTACAGGTTTGTACATGGGAAGGTTTTCCCACATTGGCTTATCTTCCCTGTACAAAGGGACCCCTCACACCCTCTCTCTAGTAAAGGGGGTCTCTGGGTGCCCTGGTTATGGGGCTTATAGGGTCTAGGCTAAGTCTACTCACCATGGTCTCTTTGCTCCCTGCCTCTGAGTTCTGTCCACAGCTCAAGGGTCCCCTTACTCCCTGTGTGGTGCCTGCCTGGGCCCACAGGATCCAGGAAGGTGGGGAGCCAGGGAGCTGAATGCCCTGCCTGTTCTGGGGGAACTGACAGCTGAGGCTTGAGTTTGAACACTGCCTGGGGGAGGCCAGCCCACTCCGGCCTTGGGAGGCAGCGGGGCTCCTGTGTTAGCAGCACCTGCTCCGGCTGGAGTTAGCCCCCTTGTAGCCATGAAAGCTTTAGCTTCAGGGCTAGACCCTGTACCTTGTTCGTGCTATGACTGGGGCAAGGCCTAATTCCCTAGTCTCTAAAATGAGGACATTATAAAGAAGGGACCTCAACCTTTTGTGGCACCAAAAATATCTTTTCAAATAATGATATTTGAAATCCTAATACATTAAGCAGATAGAGGTGGAGTCACTCAGACTTGGGCATGAAGGGTTCAGAACCCCAGCCACCAAGAAAAGCCCTCTCCCCTTCCCACAGAAGCTCTAGGTGGCCCCAGTGAGATCCTTGGGTTCCTTTCACACTTTGAAGTCCCTGGTGATAGAGCCTGCTCCAGACAGAGACACATGGATCCCAGCTCACCCTGAGATACCCCCTTACTGTAAAGGGGCAGATGTGGCAGCCAGGCTCTCCCTTGCAGAAAAGAAGGAGAGGAAGTGACCAACTATTGATTAAGCACTCACTGTGTGCTCTAAGTCTTTACCATGACCTCTTTATTTCTCATGACCATCCCACAAAGGGGTTGTTACTAACCCATTTTACAGACACGAAGTATGCTCAGAAAGTACAGAGGAATCCGCTTGGGATTACACAACTGGTTCCCTCCAGGAATATCAGGTCATGATGAGGAGTCCAGCAGGGTAGAAGAATCCTGATCCAGACGGTCATCTCTGTTGAGATTTACATCACCCAACAGTCACTCAGCAAACATGCCAGGCATGAAGCAGAGAGTCTGTCTCATGGCAGAAATGGGGGAATTCTTTGCTCAGGGAACTACTGTCACCAGGAAGTTTGACTGTTGTGCTTTCCCATCCTCAGGGCAGCAGAAGGTGGGAATGTAGCTTCTTTCAGGCCTTCTGTGACCTGGTAGACCAGCTGCCCTAGGTTGGACTGCCGGTGGCCATGGAGGGGAGTGGGTCCTGGGGTCCTGGTGGACTGAGGATATCAAGACATAGAGAGTGACAGGTAGGAAGCACAGGGCTGGATTTCTGAGCCCAGCTGCTCACTGGGCAAGACAAGCCAGGAGGCAAGGGGCTCTTCAGACCTCTCTGGAGGTCTGGGTCTCCAGCTCTTTCCAGACAAGCATGAAGCCTCATGAGCACCAAGCAAGTCTGCTCCTCTCTGAAGTAGAAGCTCTGTTAGGGCAGAGATTGTGCAGGCCTACTTACCACCCTTCCTGATGCCTATCACT